TTTTTTTTTTTGGCTTGTCCATGAACAGTTTTAATAAAAGCACCGTTGCAATATGATAGCATTCAACGACACAAAACCAGTCTGTGTACAAAATCGTCCATCTGCTCAGAGTATAGCAGTAAGCGCTGTCGAATCGGTGGAGGGTCGGCTGCCCAGATGGTTTTCAGGTTCACTGGACCTAGAATTGTTTTGATTGCGCCTCAAAGAAATATTAGCCATTTGCTTCAATAAAATTTCCGTTTGTTTTTTGAGAAAGTGAGATCAGTGGTAGGATCAAAGTCCTGCAAGTTATCTCATCTGGATTCTTATCAGTTTGTAGAATGATGCGCAAAATAAACTGAAATGACTAGTATGGGTTAAGAGGCATCCGTATTTCCTATTTTTACGGTTTCCAGTCCAATTTTCTGTTTATTTTGTGAACTTATGTCAGAAGAAGCTGATATTTTCCAATTTTGCGAGTTTGTTCGTATGCGTAAAGCACGAGAAATGATTCAAAATCTTTCTTCAAACCCCTTTTTTCGCCGTCCTCGACCGCCCTTCTTTTTTCTCCCGCCCTTGAACCAGCAATCGCATGAAAAAACAAGAAATTTGGATTAAAAATTGAGAATGAAGCAAGACATTAACCGAAAAATTACTGACTCGGAAATCAGAATAGCTAGACCATTTTCAATAAACAACCGCTCAATGAAAATTGATAATTTTTCGTCATGCAAAATTTACGATGATTAGTGGTAATGTGTGCGCAAGTTAAATGTAAAGCAACAATTATTCATACACTTAATGAACAGACTGTTTCAGGTTTAACGCAAAAACGCCTGACTGCACCAGTAATCCTAATGCGCTTCAGACTGGGTTTCGTTTACTTAACCTGGATAAAAATGCTTGCACATTTCACGTTCTCATTTTTGCCGGGAAGTATTTTCATTTAGTGTGGAAGAAGTTTTCAGCGATCATTTGGAATATCATTCTCTAGTAAATGCCAAGGGTTGCAATCAATCTTGTCCTAAAAGTTTGTTAAGGAGTATTGTAAGTTTTATTCATTTCTGCACGGATAAGAAAAATTTATTTTGCTAATGACCTTGTGTGTTATGCTGCACGAGTAGTATAATTGCGGAACTACAATTATTAGATGGTTCTGGTTTTGAGCATTTTGTCTCGAGTCATTTTCTGACTTTCCTCCCTCCCCCCGATAATAGTTGTCAAGCCAGGGTCAAGTGCAACAACGATATCGGCAGACTGCAAGAGAAGTACTGCCGTCCTGGCCTGACATGCTTAGTGCCATCCAGACAGTCCTCGTCAAAAAAAAAAAAAAAAAACCGTGCTGGGAGTATGACACGAATGAGGTCTAATGGATTGGCAAGCAAACTGTGTCTAGTGTCTGTTCGACATTCATTAAACATTGGGAAGGGCCTCAGTGACATGAAAAAGAAGCACTCAAATGCGCGTTACGGCGTCAAAAGGATAGGTAAATTTTTTCA